ATTTATTTAATCCTTTCAATATTGTGTCGTACTGAGGTAATATGCGATGATTAATTAACTTACGATTATTAGAATAATAAATAAATATTTTAATTATGTAGACCCCATGATTGTTACACTCAAAGAGTTTGGACCGTAAATAGACACTGCTGCTGTATTCGTCTACAGTAGAATTACTTCCTAATCCAACTTGTTAGTACGAATATTTTGAAATTGAAGAACAATAAATTAAAATTGCCAGAATGTCATATGTGATAACAATAATCTTAACAACGACAAACACATTTTATCAAAATTCTATCGAAGGTACCTGTTGTGTAAAAGCACAAAGATTCTGGCATTTGAATATGTCGGCTGACAACTACACCGACGTGCTACCTCATTCGACAAACTGGTTACATGCCTCCTTCCAAATATATACTTATCCACCGCTTATTTATCGTTCTCAGTCGACGTTTTCTAATCTGTGAGATTGATAGCGCATCTCTAAATACCTGATAATCAACAATTATGTAATACGAATGTTGTATCCAGAGACGAACCATGTATTTTAATTGTAGCGCCCACAGTATGTAAAAATATATATCTGCAGTTGATACAGTGTCATTAATCGCACATAAATGCTATATTTTTGTTTACGTGTGGGCGGCTTATTTACTTAAAAGTGCATAAAAGCTTGAGGATACGAAGAAGTTTTGAATTACAAACTTAGAAGATTGTGGAAGGGAATCGGTCGTAGCCTACTTAAGATACTATCCAATAATGTGACTGGCGGGACCGAGGACAACATAAAAGACCTTGGTCAACAGAGCTGGAGGTTTGCCGAAATTCAAATTTCGTATCTTAAAAGTATGAAGCAGAAGAGAAACTGTACAGAAATTCTGCAGGAAATGTAACGTCATTAAACAAGTCATACCAAATGCTGCCTTGCAATTTTATTTATATTCCGAACCGGTCTAATATGACCACAGCTGTACTTGGAATTTGTCAACATATTTAAACCTTGTTTAAAACGAACCATCTTATGCACTTATACACGCAAAATAGATTTTATACGCAGCATTTATTTGGTGAGATGTCCAGTTTTCAAAGCGATGAGTAAGATTGCTTTGTTCTGGGTTGTTACGAAATGTAATCTGGTAGAAATTGACCGAGGTTTCAGAGGTGCTTACTGCACCCATCATCAGGAAGTTGCAGTAAGCACCTCTGAAATGTCGGTCTACTTCCAAACTACACGGCTGAACATCCCAGAAGACAACTACCTTCAACTTTAATTTGTTCGATATTCGGAAAGTTTAATAAACAAGAAGAAGAAACGTTTTCTGATACTGCAGTGCAATTACCTTTGTAAAAGTATATTTGCTTCTCGAATAAACTAATATCAACTTCAGTGACTCGCCCTTATTTAGATCAAAGAAGTTCGTAGGTGCAGCTGTAAAGATTCCATCTGTTTGCGTATTCAGTATGGCTAATTGTCATCTCTATTTCTTCAGGTGTGTTCCTCTAGCGGTTTAGAGTATTTACACAGTTACAAATTAGTTTAGTATCCATGTTGCGTCACACAGTAGAGGGGGTGAGATTATCGCTTACGATAAGCCTTATATTAGCCACGAGATGGCAGGCTGGTCGCGCCAAGATTTACTTTTCTGTTAACGTGGCTGGGGGCAACATTCTGGACTGTTCGCTGCATTTGGTGCGTGTTTATTACGAATTAGTTTTTCATGTTTGTGTAGGTTATTTGGAACTGGACGAAATTGCTTGGCTAAGAATGGATTCGGCACGGTGGCAGGGGAGAGATTTGACAACAGCTGTTACAAAAACTCATCCCATTGCAGTGAACTACGATTATGACTTGGTCATCCATTCTCCAGACAAGACAGCCAGTCGGTAAGTACTGATATAGTTCATATGTTTTAGTCTGACTGGTCATTTTGCGATGCCCATTTATAAATGTAAGTTATTTTTACTGACATTAATTAAATTTATGGAAATACCGTTTAAAGACACTGCCCATGACTTAACATAAATGTAAGACTCTGCTACTTGTAATCTGACTATTCCTTGATATATATGTATATATACAGTGGATTCCGGTTAATTGGGACACATCGGGACTAAAACACTTTGGCCCAATTAAGCGTTTACTCCAATTATGTGAAGTTCCACGTAAAGAGTTAAAAAGATTTGTTCTTTAAGATTTGTCCCAAATAAACGACTGCCCTGTTTAACCGTTGGCCCAAATAACCGGAATCTACTGTACTGTATTATATATCGACTTCGCCTTTATAAAAACATTTACTGTTCTATTAATATTTTAATTACGTCAAGTCTATCTTGTAGGACTGTCATATTTTATTAAACCGCATCGACTTATTTTCTTTCGAGAAGTCTTATTCCTTTATAAAAATACATTTTAATAAGTAGCAGAATACTGTTTTATTTGAGCTATGTATATAAGAAATAAATCTCAGAGTCCGTTCTGTTACAGCTTGAATCTAATTGGTTCGTTTCATAGCAAAAACCGAAGTTTAATAAGTTTATGACTCAGTGAATTATTTTTGTGGCCACGTCACATTTATTAAACATAATATATAGGTTTGATGCTTCGTTATGCATGCAATTGTCATAGGGAGTCTTACCATAATGGTATATCACCGTACAAAATGCCACATTTCTAGCCTTAATGTTTTATAAGTTTACGCCATCAAACTGACAGCCACATATAGCCTTTATGCAGACTACATGTATAAAGTTACGTTAGCGACGAAAGAGTGAAGGTCTTAAAAGCCCTGTCACAGCACAGAACTTCACATGTGCCCCATTTGCCATTACAGAAGGAAGGCAGTTAAAATGCATGAAGGTACGGCGCCTTCTACTGGCACGTTACACGTGGAAATCCGTCCGTGGGTGGAGCAGTTGGTGGTGGGGAAGGGAAAGCGGCTCAGATACACGTCTGGCCAGGTGGAAATACTATAAATCTGTTTTATAAAATACGGAGGGAAGGCAAATATTACTGTTCCAAAATTTGTACGTACTTCCGAACCTTATTTAAGTTAACCTAAGGTAAATATTCCGTGTCTGGTGTTTGTTTAATGACCAAGACATTGAAGTGTCTGATCAAACGTGTTTTAGCGGAAAATTAATTCAGGACTGGCTGGTCATTCTGGCGGGATTTTAACTTGAGATCTTCCAGATACGAAGACTGCTGACCGCTACACTTTCTGTAACTTCTTGCCACGATGAAAGAACGCTGTTTCGTAACACTGTTCTCCCAATTCCTTATTAATAAGTTCCTTTCGCTGGAAAGAAGTATCGACCCTCGGTACGCAGTCTACTACAGGCACTTTACAGTAACCGTTCATTCACTCGTACTTCTCGTTTCTCGTAGGAAGGGTGAATGATGACAGTTAGATGTCAAAATGAAATGTTATTTGCGCCTAAATTAGCTTATTCGGAAGAATGGAGATTTAGCTACACATATTAAGTGTTTGTATTGCGACATTTATTTCCTTAGTCTATTTTGAAAATCCAATTATCTTCTACTTTAAGCCAAATTCGATGTTAATTAAACGAACGAAGTGCAGAAATGTAAGTATTGTGGAGATAAAATCATGCATAGTGGGTAGATTGGATTTCTAATGATGAAGCCGTGCCCCATTTTTTATACGATCAGGGAATTAACCTGGAGAGACAGATTTCAACAACGAAATATTTTAATCAGGCTATGTGATAATCCTACTGCAATTTGGAGTGTGCCGGATACTATAGAAACATTATATTGGGCATTGTCTATTGTCTGAGGTAGACACTATTTTCAGGAGTTGGCTCTGCTCCTGTCTTCGGGTAACTAATTGACATGATAGACTTTTTTTATTATTTTAGTGGTAACGGTCGGGATCCCAAAGTCGAAACGTCAGAAAATGAAATAAAAGAATCTCATGGCATCCTTTGAAAGCGTCCGTGGTACCGTGGCACCCAGTTTGCGAACCACTGTGCCAGGCGGAGATTGGTGGTTGAACTTTATGCTCCGGGCGTTTCACCCCCGCGAAAATAATCCCCACTATCTCCATTAGGGATTCCTTTTAATTCCTGTTTGCTTTCTAAACATGTTTTTACTGAACCTGTTAACACCAACCCGAATAGAGATGAAACGGAGGATAAAGCTAGTATCAACAGACATACAGAGACAGAAACATAGGTTATATAAAATGACGTATGCATGGGAAAGACACAATGTGATGGAAATACGTAGGCGGACTGAAATATGCAGACATATAGACAGACACATACATGTAGTCAGTTGCCGTGTCTTTTGAAGTGAGGAGCATGCCGGAAAGGAAGCCATTTCCGTCGTCACACTGCAGACAAGATATTGGAAATGTGCATTGCTATGGCAACAAACAGGTGTCTGCCTTCCTGCAGTGCAGCCTGCATGCTTTACTAGCCGACGTAATGGTAACGACGTGTATGTGTGTGTAAGAGCTTCCTGTTTCGAATCTATTTCTAATTTTCCTGACCGACGTTTGAGTGCATTTCCTCATTATCTCTCGACACTATTTCTAGGAGTAGATCTAAACGTATTGTTAAATAATCTTCAAATCCCTGCAGGTGAATATCAGGACTGTAATAAAAGTCAGTAGATTTCTGGTGTAGTATTATGTTAAGTTGTCCTTTTGGACTATATCTTCTGAATAATAAAATAATGAAATAAAATAACATTACGTTATAGAAGCTGGATTTTACTTCCGTCTTCAGGTAAGAGTGGGGGGAAAGGACAGAGAACCTATGTCAGACAAATTCTCTTTGCCAATTAGAAGTATCCAATACGCTGTGTTACTCAGTTTTGTTGGCAAGAAATGCGAGTCCCACCGACTGATCAAGAAAGGAGACATTTGCTATCCAGCTGAAGAAAACTCACGCGTAGGTGATTTGAGTGTAGGTGTCACGGCGAAGAATGTAGTAAACTAAACGGTATCATGAATTTTATCGTTTCATCCTAAGGAAGTAGAATACTGTGTGTTCGCATCGGCTTTTTTTAAAGTGCCATGGCAATGCAAGTTTAATGACGTTGTTTTCGTTAATATTTATCGCGGTGCACTAGGCTAAATGTCAGTTTCTCTCCTTACTATAAATTTGATTTATATTCAAATGGATACTGAACCTATCCGTTTTATTGCTTGTTAAGTGGTGCAAATGGTTGCGTTTCAGAACCGGGAAATTGTTTTATTTCTTTTGCCTGATACACAGATGGGCCTGCTTTTGAGATAAGAGGGCTGAGTAGAATATTTTAACCTGTGGAGGCTAAAATAAACTGAAAATTGCGGTACTATTCACCCAATGTTATTACCCTGATTAAATCAAGGATGAAGGAATGGGAAAGATGAGATTTAGGCTTGTGAAATGAAAGAGTAGATAAGAAATGTTTTATACGGTATTGTTCGGAGAATATTGTGGGAAGTCTAGACGTAGATAGAAATTATGTTAATATTTCATATAAGGGATAGAGGACAAGGGTGTGGACTATGCTCGACTGGGCACCTGCTGTTTGGTGTTGTTGAAAAACTGTTATTTACGCCTACCATCCGCGACAACTTCTCCGACGTAACTGTTGAGCGGTTAGTCTAAACAAGGATCAGCAGGTGGTGGTGTAAATCGTATTCAGAATTGCTGTGGCCAGTGGCTAGTCAACTCTGATTCTTTTTACAACAATAATAATACTAATGTGAAAGACACCATTATTTTCAACAGTTCATTACTATTTTGGTAATTCATTTTCCTTCTTGTTCCTTATTGTCATTTATTATTTCATCATTTTCTCTATTCTATCATTTCATTTATCTGTCTTCATTTGTCGTACTTGCCATGTTTTATGTGCAATCATTATTAACAAGTCGTCATAAAGAAATCGACTGTAGGAAGTTCTGTGCCTCCAATCGACCCTTTTGTTCTGCATGATTTATGTCGCCGCTAAGCAACAAGTGATCGGGTTCTCAGCTCCATGTTTACGTAACTTGTAGTTTGACTATCTGTGCAAGTTTTACTGCTTTCTGAAGGCTAGTAACAAGACGGAAACTATGTAATTGACGTTTCAGTCAGTGGCTTATGCTGATTGATGAATTCTAGGGTTCTTTAAGACGCTGTTTGAACTGAAGACAATATGCGCATACTGCAGTCGAATGAGCTGTAAGAATGAGTGTTAAAGTTAAGAAAGGATGAATTCTTGACTTGGAGAAACTTTGTCGGTAAACAATTTTGGGTTTAATACATGCGTATTTTCATCACATTGTGTGTGTATATATATATATGCATATTTTATCTTTTTAAAATTTAAATATGGAAATGTGGAACGATTTATGCAAGATCGCAAAAATTTAATTTGGAAAATATGTTGACTCGAAATTAGTATATGTATTTTCGTTGTTATACTTTATAGATACGATATCTTAATTCTTCGTTGATTAATACATTTCTTAACTGCCTAAATTGTGTAAGTGCATAATTATTTATAAACAATGATCTTCAAACGATGTAGAAGTAAGCTGTCATGGACTTATCCCAGAATTTGCCTGAGGGATTGAAGAAGGCCGAGGAAATTTCAGTCTGGATAACAATCCAGCAGAGATTTAAACGTTGGATTCCTGAATACAAAGCAGGATTTCTAACTACTACACCGCAACTAATCCTTTCTAACTCACGAACTTCGAAACAAATGTAAACGTTCTAGGCTCTGTAGATATTTCGGAGAAACATACCGCCTCTATCTTGTGGTATATGTTCTGTGTATACCATTTTATCCTTGACAAGCCTTTCCTTAATGAACATGATACAAGTTCTATTTTAGTTTCTTATGAAGCTCAAGAGACGAATCTTTCGAACAGGTATGACTT